AAGACGAGAGGTTCTTGAAGATCCGAAATGCGCGCTACCTTGGTACGGGATTTTAAAACTGAAGGTAAATCCTTGAATTAGAAATGAGGTTTAGGTAGAATCATAGCCCTCAAGATAACTAGCCAATTTATCAACTTGAATAGTAATGATACTTATATCTTTTTCACTTAGACAAGGGTGCTGGTTTGTTGGATGTGCTAGTTTTGTTTTGAAAAGCCTTGTTTTGATCGATTGTGGAATTGTCGACGAGGGTGCTTTCCTATTTCATGCTGTTCGGAGCAGTTGATTTTATTGCATGAGCCAAGATTGTTGTAGGAATAGCAGTAGCTATGTTGCTTGGGTTGGGCCCGAAAGGTTTGTTTCCTGCTTTTAAGTTTGAAGTCTATGCCAGAGACTAAAGCTTCTTGATATAGTTCAATATTTTTCTTATCCCTACACTCGAGGAAGGTTCTTTTTCGCGCCAACGCCGAAGTTTTTCGTCATACAGTAAGGTCGCTTGATCCCCACAGAAATCAGCGATTTTTTGCACAGCGTGTGCAGAGGTCATCAGTTTACCAGTTTCATGGGGGGATTTCTCCGCATAAATATCTTCACATATGTGGAGGCCTCGACCCACTTGGTAATTTTTTTCAATGAACCTTTTTCGTTTGTCTTAACAAAGATTAACTGACCATCTTTATCTACTGACTTATACTTTTCAGTGTCCTCATAATCAAGGTCATTGGGCAATAAAGCAGCAAATTTAACAAACTCATTGGCATAAATCTTCGACCTTATTTTAACATCTACCCCCAATGTTAGGCCTGTTGCAGGGTGCTAGTCCCCCTCTTCAGCTTGTTGAGGCAATTAATTATTACCTTGTGCGGCAGTCAGCCAAATAACGTCTAAAAGAGTCCTCAATAGTTGGCAGAATTGAGGCCATACAGGACAGTATCATTTCTTCCTGTTTTTTGCATATTCAAGATATTAGTTTTAAAGTATCAGCTTATCTGACAGTCTCGACAAATTTAAAAGGACATGGAAATTTAGAAAAAAAAATCATTCCTCGCGTGTGTGAGGGTGTGTTCTTGGGTGTTCAAAATCAAGGAGCACGCGGACGTTAAACAAGAAAAAAATTGGAATGGTCTAACATACAATGAAACACATAATACAAAAGAACGGCGGACCACAAAGCTCACCTGAGTTACATTGGCCCTGCTGTTCTTCATAATATTTTTCCCCTTAATTTTTAATCCGAAGAAAAATTATCACCCCATATTGTGGCCCCGCCTAGAATTAAGGGGTCTCTATATCAATACAACATGAAGATACTTGAATATTAATATGACTATCATGACCGTGTTGTTATGGAAAATAAATTTCCCGTGTACATGAAACTCGTCGTCATGGCAACAGAAAGGTTTTCCATCCCTTCTTATTCCCCAGAAAACTCGTAACACTACATGAATCCACCAGTGTAGTCGCTCTAAGGAAACATTACATATAATATGGTTCCCAATTTTAGCCATATCCTTACTTAGCAATCTAATTTAATAGATTACCTAGAGCCCATAATTTGAAAGAAAAATGAATCAACAAATCTTGGGAATGATTGCAAATAAATGATTTATTATAGTTTTCCAGAGGATTTAAAAGGATTTTCCTATATATTCCCATATAAAAATACTAGTTTCCTCTATTGTGACCCCACCAAAGGTCTTTGGGCATTAATTCAAATATGAATCTTCACTATCTGATGATTCTTGCATATTTTTAAAATCAATAATCTTGCTCTGCTGTTATTGCGAAGAATGTGTTTTCCTTTAATTATATCCTCATGTAAAACATTGATCTCTCCCTCATAATCTACACTATGTCAAGGAGCTTATACATAATTTTCATTGTTTTTTCTCTTGGCCCAGTGTTTTTTTTAATTTTTGACGATTCTTTCCTAAATACTCTGATTGCCTAAATGTAGCCCCATCCGCGAGTTAATGAATGGAACAATTCAGAATCCATGCAATGTCAGAAAACACATATATTTCATCTTCTCTGGTAAAATGGTCCTAAATAATAAAATAAGAAGATTTTCAAATATTTTTTTTCCTTTAGATTCCCATATAAATCTTTGAATCTCTATTTTGACCCACCCTAACCTGGGTTCAAGAATTGCCATTTGGTCCCTGTTGTGGCCCCATACTATCCCCACGGGCCATGATTTGAACAATTAAGAATCCACATTATGTCTGGAAGGCTATACATAAGCATATTCTTTTTTGGCCAAAAGGTGAGTCTCGAAAAAAAATATTTAAATGACCCCAATCTATTTTAGCGTTTCTTGATTATATCCCCTTCGAAGGTGGCTTTGTTCTTCATTTGAACAATTTCGTATTCCCTTTATCCGAGGATGCTTTGTGTCAAGTTTGGTTGATATTGACCCAGTGGTACTTGAGAAGGGGATGTGGAATTCTATTTAGACCAGCCTTCTTACTATCCAGGAGGATCACATTCCCTCCAAACTTGCATCCACTCGATATAGTCAACCCTGGGTTAACAACACAGTAAAGAGGATTACTAGACAGAAGAACAGAAGCTTCAGGAAGGCTAGAAAAACAGGGAAGAAAAAGGATAAGGATAGATATCAGAGACTAAAGAAAGAGGCTAAAAACACCTGCCAGAGTGCTTATAACGAGTACATTAAGAACATCATCAGCCCTGATGCATCCTCGAACCCTAGGCGTTTTTGGAGTTTTATAAAAGGTAAAAGAACAGAGTCATCAGGAGTTTCATCACTCAAGGATAAGCATGGAGTAGTACAATCAGACAGTGAGAAGAAAGCAAACATCTTGAATGGGCAATTCTCCTCAGTTTTCATCAAAGAGGAAAGAATCGATAACATCCCAGATAAGGGTCCTTCACTATTCCAGGACATGAAGGAAATCAACATCAGTACTGGTGGGATTAGGAAACTCTTTGCCGGCCTTAATCCATACAAGGCCACCGGTCCTGATAATGTCCCATGCAGATTGTTGAGGGAGTTTGCAGAAGAGATAGCCCCAGTATTTCAACTACTCTTCCAGGCATCAGTTAACCAGGGTACAATACCAACTGATTGGAAGTCTGCAAATGTTGTGCCAATATACAAGAAAGGGGACAAAGACAAAGCTGAAAACTATAGACCGGTGTCCTTGACTTCAGTCACATGCAAGCTTCTTGAACATATCATGGTCAGTAACATCATGGACCACCTAGATACTCACAAGATCTTGCATGATGCACAACACGGATTCAGGAAACGCCGCTCCTGTGAAAGCCAGCTTATATTAACAGTACAGGATTTGACTAAAAACTTAGACAACTGTGACAACTTAGACAACTGACAGATGTCATGACCCAGGGGCCATAAAATTCACAATATTGGAAGAGGCATCCTTACATATCATAACTATACTCTTAATTCATCAGCTTAATACCCAGGATCAAAGAAAAAGAATTTTAAAGAAATAATGCATTTTCACCATATTGCTAGATTTTTCAAAAGCTTTTGACAAGGTCCCCCACCATCGCCTCCTGTACAAGTTGAGCTATTATGGGATTAGAGGCTGTCACCTGCAATGGATAGAGGACTTTTTAAGTGGACGCATCCAACAAGTTCTATTAGAGGGAAAAACATCAAGTACAGCTGAAGTAAAATCTGGAGTACCACAGGGGAGTGTCCTTGGACCACTCCTATTTCTTCTATTTATTAATGATCTGCCAGAGTATATATCCAAAAATTCAACTGTCCGCCTATTTGCAGATGACTGTGCTCTATATAGAGACATCAAAAATGAGGATGATGCCACACAGCTCCAGAAAGACCTAGATGGACTTCAGAGATGGGAGGACGAATGGATGATGGAATTTCATCCTGGCAAATGTCAGGTCTTACATGTTACCAACAAAAGGAAGGTGGTCAATGTACCATATGTTATCCACGGTCATGTCCTCGAGGTAGTAGAAACAGCTAAATACCTTGGAGTCCACCTTCATCAAGGCCTGAAGTGGAACCACCACATTGACACCATTGCAAAGAAGGCCAATTCCACCGTTGCCTTTCTGAGACGCAATCTACACCAGTGTCCATCAGAAACAAAGGCCCTATGCTATCAGACCTTTGTCAGGCCCATTTTGGAATACGGGAGCAACATCTGGGATCCTTACACCAAGGACAGCATTGGCAAACTGGAGATGGTCCAAAGACGAGCTGCCTGTATGGTAACATCTGACTATAGAACAACTAGCAGCGTATCGGACATATTAAAACAGCTGAGTTGGACATCTCTACAGGAGCGACGTGGTCAAGCAAAAGCTGTTATGATGTACCGCATAGTGTACCAGCTCATCGACATTCCACCACTCCTCCTGTTTCCAGCCACTACAACCCGAGGAAACAGCATGATGTTCTTGGTTCCTTATGCCAGAACCTTAGTGTACCAGAAATCATTTTTCCCAGATGGTATTCGAGTGTGGAACTCTCTGCCAACATCCTTGGTTACCACCACCTCCCTAGATAGCTTCAAATCGAAGCTATCTAGCCACATCATCCGACCGTAAACCAACCAATCTATTTTACCTGCACTGTAAGTAGTTTATCTTATTTTTAAATCACCTTGTTTTCCTCGCACCACCATGCGCCAGTACGAAATATCAGAAGTTCTGATCAGTACTTTATTGGAAGAAGAGGAGGAAGAAGAAGAAGTCGAAAATGGTAAAAGTTTACAGATGAACAGACAGACGCACGCTGGACAACGGATTAAAAAAAATGCTCACCAGAGCTTACAGCTTAGACCATAAAATGTTAACTGGTTCTTCTCTATTTTGTTTTACAAAATTTTGCTCTTTTTGTAAGTTTAATTACACACTGAAACTTTTTTGATTAAGGACGAATGCTACAACGTCATAATGGCTGCATTTCCGGTGAAACTCTAGCTTCTTCCGGCGAAAACGAGAATTTTCCATGTAGCGAATTAAACAGGAACCCGAAAATGGAACTCTTTTGTAAGAAAGATAATTTTAATACACAGGTCTTTTAAACGCTTTATGCTACGATAATATCGACCAAGAATTAAGCGCTGAAATAACTAGTATGTAAATAACCGGTTAGAAACCGGCATAATGAATTAATGTTCAGTGTGAATGTTATGCGATAGGAGAGAAAATGAATAGTGATCGCAGACATGCTTTGTCTTTGGTTGAAGTCATTGAACATGACCATTTCTACACGCATGAAAGTAATGAAGGTAAGATAATTTTTATACGTTTTCAATTTCTGGTATGCCAAACATATCACTTGATCACGGTGCAAGCTTTCTGTCACCATTGATTAATGTTTTTAATATACGTATTGTTCAGACAAACTTGTCAATTCAACTTGACTTCTTTCATAGAACGAAAAAGGAATTGGCATGGCCAGTTTGAAGGAAAAATGAGGAAACCGTCCCAACATGAAGATACATGTATAGGACATGACCATTCCTACTCAAATTTATTGACATCTTCATCTACTTCAGGTATATAAAGTATATTAAAATGAGCTATTGAAGTAATCTGAATACCGCAGAGTTGTACTCAATCTGGGAATTATGTAATGAATTTAATATTTAAACTTTAAGATTATTGTGAGATGTGCATAGATGAAAACGATTCCGAGTCAGATGAGTGTGAAGATGAAGACTCCTGTACATACAACACAGAACAGTCGGTAAAACGGAGACATATTGTTGAACTCGATGTTTTGGCAGAAGGATTGGAGAAAGGGTATGTACATTTATAATTGAACAGTTTTATATATTAGTTTGGTTTTTACAATTAAAAAAATGTCAAAATGAAGTACATCTAAAAATTTTATCACACATATATTATGTTTAGTATTAAAGGTGCTCAAACTGTGGACAAGCATTACATTTGTCATCATACATTAGAGAAAGTAGATATGGCCTTGGTGAAGATTTTTTTTTGCATTAAATTTCATCATATCTGTATGCTATTCACATGTTTGTAACTCTTGATTTATTACTGTGTTTTGTGTATTGCTTTATATTATATCCCCCATTCTACTGCTTCATTTAAATACATGTATAATTGTTTCTTTTTGCACTAAAACATGTAAGCATATTTTCTAATCCATTTGCCAAATATGTAGCACTACATACTTTTTTTATGTATATACCTACTAATAACTTCATCTTCTTGGGCAAAAAATATTTTAAGTTCATAAAAAATTATCTATATGTAAAATTTTCATATAAAAGTACCAGTTTATTTAGGTCCTACCATATTAAGAAAGATAACTCTTCAAACCAGATCTGAACCAACATTTTTGATGAATTTTTTTTATACTTTTGTTTATCAAAATTTTCAATTTTTCATTTGCATGTCATTGATAATCATGTGTATTTTCTATTTATAGATTTTGGTACAGTTTTAACCAACGGTTTTCAGGAAATTGAACTTGAATGTTAAAAAATCACCTTTTTTCAGAAATAGTAAAAAATGTGTGATGAAAATAAAAATTATTTTGTTGTATTTTAACTCTTAAATAATAAACGGGAATGTTCCAAGTGAAAAGAAAATGAAATGAAAGAAAACAAATTGAAAATTGAAGAAATTGAAATTTGTTTCAATAATACAAAAGAATTCTTCAAAAATAAAGGAAAAATATCTGCATTCTTGGAATGTTGTTAATGGTTCTATACATTTGAGAGGTACTGATATCAAAAATATCACTAGGTGTGTTATTCTACCTTAATTGGGATATGACCGATATGACCCAAAGATAACAAATTTATAGAAATAAAGTCTTTTAAAGTGTAAAATTTTGTATCAAATGACTCATTCTTTGCAAGAGACAATGTCAGGAAAATATTTCTCCTTCTTATATCACATGAACCAAGTTTATCATTAGAATGATAATATATCATTTAAAGAATTAATGAAATTTTTACTTTTCAAACGGTCCTGATTGTACTAATAACGCTGTTTTTTTAACTTAATATATACAGTTATAAAATTCTTACTAAAACATTTTTATGCATGTATTTATATGTCCCTTTAATATTTAAAAAAGTCAAATCCAATTCATTCTGAAGCTTTTTAGAATGAATGTTCTTTTTATTCAATTTGACCTTCCCACTTCATTTATGACTTTCCTTGTTGCGATTTCTTCCACTTTCTAGATAGATAACTTGGTATGTCAAACAGTCAACCCCTAGTGTCCGCAATCCTTTTTAAGAGTTTAACCATGTTCTTGTCATCTGTGTAAGGGGGTGGTAAAGAACTGACAAAATCACAGTTACATTCTTCCTTCGGTCTTGTTAATTGGAGAATGGTCGATATATTACAATGGTGAACAAGTACATCAAACACGGTGTGTATATCATATGAAGCCTTGAAAAGTGAAATATTTAGTAGTTCATGTTTCAGTTCTACAATATCATTTTCTTCAATCAGATACTCAGGACATATTTTCACACATCGTTTTATACTATCCTCCGTTAATTCTGCTGAAAGCGATCCCGCCCATGGCTCAATATCTTGGTTTACATTGTAAACTCTTACAAACATTATGTAAACAAGAACAAAGAAAAGTTCTTTATTCTCCTCTTTCATTCTTTTAAAATGATTTACTAATGTAGTCACTGGTGATTTGATGAAATCCTCATTAGTGAAGAAGTCATGGTGCTGACAATACATCAACATTAAGATTGGGTTACCCACAAGTCCTTGATTGAGTAACATTTTTGAGAATACAGAAGAAAACTCGATGTTTTTAAACCAACAACTTGGATCACGAACACAGTGGCTTTCTTTTTTCAACTCTTTCCAAATCAATAACATTTCTGCTTTATCCAGATGATCAATATCAATCAAATTTTTGGTGTCCATAATCCGTACTCTACAAAATTTCAAAACTGCATCGTATGCATGTTGATGTATTCCTAATAAAACTTTTAAATGACCTTTACATTTTTCTCTCTGTTTTTGTATAACATGTTCAAATCCTGTGACAGTTTCGATCGAAAATACATTGCAGTTAAATGTCCCAAACAAATTGTCACAACAAAGGAGAGTATCTTTAATTTCATTTTCCATCAGTTCGTTTTCATTAATATATTCCTCAAACCAAACCGTTCTCCATCCTCTGTCCTCATATCTATCTTGTATATATCTCATGGCAGTTGTTTTACCACATCCAATGGCGCCTATGCAGATAACAATGTCTGAAGTGTCTAATAGTGCCAGAGAGGACTTTATGTTCCTTGTCATAACAATTCCATTTTCAACATCATAATTTCTCCTCAAACGAATGACTGAAATGAAAAGTAGTTTATTATTTTCAATTCACATTATTATTCGGTCCTTTTCTTGTAGTATGTGGCTTTCAAAAATTATCAAGTTATATTTTAGAAAGTAATTATTATTGTATGTATATATGTATTTGAAACAAATGAAGAAATACCGCTTACTTTTAATTTTCGATTCCAATGCATTACATTCAGGTTTATTGCGATTAGTTAAATACTCTTCGTCGGAAAGTTCTCCAAATTTTTCACTCATCCTTCCATACACATCCTGAAGATTTAGAACATCAACTTTATTGTCACAATACAGATTCCACAATATATGGATCCTTTCTATGTCAGCTCCAAGAGAGCGATCGTCATCACTAGGCGTATAACCCCATCCTGTCTCAGGAGGCTTTACATTGTCACAGAAATTTATTAACAAGGTAAAAACAATCTCCATGTTTACATTGTCATAGTCCTCAGTATTGTTCACGTTTTCCAGATCCTTCAACAAACGCTCGCCCAAATGCTCATTTAAGGATACTGAGTAAATTATATTTTTTTCCTTCAAGTCCCACACTTCAAGCTTAGTTTTCAAGATATGAGTAAGATAGCATGGGAGTTTATGAATCTTTGACAGAATTCTCGAACGTTCTTCACCAGGAATTGTTGATAGTTTTCTCACCTGCTCTTCTACAATTATCAAAATATTTTATCAAAGCAGTACCTGCATACCTGCAAACTCAACTAAGGTAAAAAGTCACAGAAATGATTGATATTTGATTTTTCTTTAATTTAAAATCTTTAAATGAGTAATTTTAATGTGCATTCATTTTTATTTTTGGTTAAGTACATGTAGGTATAACTTTACCTGTTGCAGGAATCATCTGAATGTTCTCTTCCTTATCTAAAGTATTCGCAACAATTTTATAAAAATATATTTATGCTACAATGTATCACACCAAAACGTTATAACAATTTTGGTGTTTACTGTTTATTAAAAAAAAATCTATCCAATATTTTTCGTATTTTTAATGAAATCAAATCAAAGCATATCAATAATATCCATGTTAATAATCCATTGCACGTTAACATACAGTAATTTTACAGTTGCATGGCCAAGGTATAAATTTCTTTCAGAATGCTTTGCATAATAAAAAGATTTTTTCATGTTTTTTGAAAATTGCATGCAACCAAATGTATAACCGACTTCCTGATAACAGAAAAGTATTATGAATTTATTTGTCTTCATAAATATTTTTAAAAAGTCTTAACATTCACTACGAAATCAAAACTTTACATGGATACGATTTTTATTTTATTGGCTCTACCTTCAGGGTATTATACTTAGAAATGCATTCTTATCTGTGGATAAAAAAAGACCACATAAAATATAACCTTGAAAATGAAAAAATAATTAAAATGCCGTCTGGGTGCAAATTTTAGCTACTTCTGTATATTTGTAATTGCTAGACAAAGAATCTATTAAGAATGATTCAGAGCAAAAAATTATTAACTTTCTTTTTTCATACCTTCTAAATCAGTTGCTGTATTTCGACAACGAAACACTCCTGCAAAAACATAAACATATTTTTTTATTTAAAGCAATTATTAGGGTGTTATTCAGTAAGGAAATCACTAGTGACATACCTGGCAATTTGTTTTGACGGTACAGAACAAATATAATCACAGCTGTGACTAGAATAACCACTGGTACCATCAAACCAAGTACAATTCCAGTATCAGAACTTTCATCCATGTCGGCCCTAATCAAAATGATAGTCAGTTTACGTTCATTAAACATTACCGACTGATCTTAATTTTACGGAGGGATATGATTAAATACAACTAGATTGTAATAAATATAACTTACTTATATTTTGAGATTGTTGTGGTCCCATCTGATAACAATGTAGATGCCTGTGTGGTAATACTATTTCAATGCAAAACATAGCTCCGATAAAGAAATTTCTAACAAGAAGCCCATGGGCTTAAATCAATCCCAGTCGCCCTGCTATTCTTTAGAAGATGCTTGAAGAGACACGCTTTCGTTTGTCCCACACATATTTTAACTGATTTATCCCAGATTCTGATTGCTGATTTTACTGTGGGAATTGCAACATCAGGGGGACAATTGGTCAAATTAATATGCCATCATTTACATGAAATATTCAAGCTTGTTCATTAATGACTCTGGCATTGGTTCCGGGCAATTGAATGGTTTGATGTCATACGGGGAACATAGAAATCTATATAGAAAGTTTTCAAATCCCTTTACATTGAACCATTTTTGTTTATTAATCAACCAAAATTCACATGAAATCTTCATTCATAATAGAAAAAAGTGTCTTACCTGTTAAATACAGTAAAACACACTGGAACTGAAAAACAGAGGCAGTATATTCGTTATACATATTTATAGTCAAAATCTCTTCATCTCTAAATGAAAAATATTACTTCATAAAAATAAATGTTTATTGAAAGACCAAGTAAAGAAAATATGAAGAAAAATTAATAAACTCCTTACATTTATACAGTTCACTTGATGAATAAATTTGATCAGGACATCCACGGATAGCCCGACATGACTTGTAATCAAAGTTATATGTGTCACTGTGGAGTACACCGCAATGTCCTGTAAATAAAGACAAATTAAGTGCGATGATGAAGAGTAATTTTCCATTTAAAATGGAAACTTAATAGTAAATAATAATTGCTACACAGTGACATGCTCATTTTGGAATTAAATCGGTAAAGACTGAATTTTAAGACTTAACTTGAAAGGGGCTCACTGTAGAAAAGTTCATAAGAAATTACCTGATGAAATTAAGCCCTTCTTTGTGCATATTTCACCAAAGCGGCCAGGGTGCTTGTATATAGAAGCACAAAAATAGTCAGGTGGAACTTGACAATTTTTGGCTTTGGCTCTGCTTATCCAGTCTGCTTTGTTCAAAGGACATCCGTCGACGACAACAAAGGAAATATTTTCTGCTTGAATGTTCCTTGTCAGAACAATGAAGAGCCAGTAGAATAATCTGACGTATGTCATGATGGAGATAATTATTTCTGTAAGTAAAATTGTATATGGCTAACCGGTGTTCGATGATTGTTTAATTAATATAAGTTATACAGAGACTGCTACTGTTCCATTTCACAGCAACATATAATACATTTCTCTAAAGGGATACAAAACACTGGTTCAGGTTGGCAGCCAAAATGGACATTAGATATCTTTTTTCAAATTTCATAGGTCGAAATAATCGTCTTCCTTTAAATTGTGACTGTCGAAAACTGACATGGAACGTCCACGTCCTCATCTAAAGGATCCACTGAAAAATGTTTTATTTACGATTTCAACCTGTTCTTTTCTCGATATCTTTTAAGAAAATGATCTATCGTGCCTTCTGTCTGTTATCTTACTTACTAGTAATAATTTGTTATTTCTTACAGCATATTACAAAAGATCGGTGGTGTTAGAATAGTTCAGTAGGGTATACAATTTGATCTGACAAATATCGCATCACGTTTGAATCTAGGTTGCTAAAGTTTGACATTAGATTTTACAGGTATCAATGCTTATGATTATGAAGCTCGTATATCTATTATGAATAAATCTAATATTTTGTTCTCATTACAAATATTTTCCTCAGTAAAACCAAATTTTCCGGCAATAAATATATATTAGCAAATATTCATTTAGTCTTTTATAAAAGTTTCCGGAAGACATACGTTTCCTCGCATTTGTTTCATTAAGTGTGCACTCAATGTCTAATCATTCTTTCTTTCGTTCTCATGAAAACAAATTACACTGGGTTTCATTGTTTAATGATCAAAACAACCTGCTAAACAAAATCAACTTGATTTACCGTTATTCCATAATAATTTATGATTTATAGTTATCAAAATATGTTCAAAAATATGATTATCAAATTCCAGAACAAACGTCAACTTATTCATAAAATACCAATATAGGATACGTGTACTTCAAGAGTTTGTTATTATGCCTTTCAAAGACATTTAAGATTTTGCAAGGATAACTAGGATATATGGATACTTTGGTTGTGAATTTCTCAAAAAAATTCATTCCCCGAAAGGTATACCAAACACTTTGAACAGATAAAATGATATTATGATTCATACATGAAATAAAAAAATACCATTTTCCCCTATCAGTTTCTAAATCTAGGGCGTAATTCAAATTTTGAATATTTAGATACTTTGGATACATTTTCTTTACAAAATTTTTGAATTTTGAGTTATGTCTAGTAATCAAAATTTGAGAAACATTTAGGAAATTAACAAACACAACTGCTCACTAGACTGTGGAAAGAGTTGTGTTTTACCTGAGTAACATCGCGACCCACATTTAACCCTATCAAGTTCTTTATTCATTGCAAGCTAATGAAAACGCTACCTGTCTTTTGTATTTCGCTTAGGAAAAGAATACATCTTCCATGAAATGTAATCATGATGCCAAAAATATTGAATGTTAGGAATTTACTTTTTTAAATAAATTATATTCGCAAATTATGCATATTACTTTTATGCATCTTTCTCTTACTATGCACACGTATGATTTGGAAACAAATAAACATTAAGAAAACACAAAGAGAAATAAACAATAAATGAAAAATTCGAATTTAATCTTCACATCTGATTACTGTGTAAAATTTTATTTGGACTGATTTTAACAGATTAAATAACTGACATTTAAAGAGAAGTTCTACGTTTTCACGGCGCTTTGAATTCTTCTACATTAAAAATGTTTGCGTTAAATCTTACTACCACAAAATCTTTTATTTGTTTGTTCTATCGAATGTTTATGGATTATTAAAAAAAAAATTCTGGTAACCATTTAAACATAAAGCTAACGCCAATAAGTTCTTACGACTGCGCAATCACAATCCCTATTTAAATATCAGAGTAACATGTTTTAGTTTCAAATTGCAATATTTCTTTTCATTGATATTCGTTTATCATCTTCACATTAGAGTGAAAATATTTGTGCAGTATATCTTCAAATCATATACTGTATAAATTAAATATTGTTTATATATATTTTCCATTTTAGCTGTATTGTTTTTTTTTAAAAACTGCATAAATCCTAATCTGAAATAAAGGTTCATCAGAATACCATCATTCTTAGTTAGAGCTTATAAGTGAAGATACAAACCCAGCAATAACATACGAGGTAACACAAAGAAACTTAAAAATTCCGCCTGAAAATCAGTGATAGTCCTCCAGTTTATAACCTGGCTAACTTTCGTTTTAATCAGGTTCAGGTTGTTTCTACGGAAACTTTAAAGAACTATAACTCATGAAAAAACACTGTCACAATTTTACGTGCATTATTACCTACATATAATAAATAAAATATGGAGATAACGAACAGTATTCAGTCTCGAAAGTCCATTCAAACAATACAAATCAGGAGAAGAACAAACAAGGACCTCTGAAAAATCAGAGGTGGGATCATGTATATTACCTTGATATCAAAATATAGTTCATGAACAGAAACGAATACGATGGGCAATAGTGCTCCTTTATAATTCAGTTGTTTTTTTATATTCCTATGAAGCAGAATTTTTTTCAAATACTTCAAATGAGACATTACCTTGACATTTAGATATATCGACGACGTTTTATCAATAAACATTATAGTTACTTCCATTCATATGTCGACTAGATATATACCAGTGAATTTGAAATAAAAGACACCTCAGTCTGCCACATGTTTCATATTTGATGTTTTAATGACTATAGATGATAACGGCCAGCTAACAACTAAATTGTATGACAAATAAGATGACTTCAGCTTTCCCATCGTCAATTTCCTTGATTTAGAAGTAATATTCAACTCTCACCTGTATATGATGTTTGTATCTCCCAAACTATTCGAAACTCCAGAAAATGCTCTAGGTATGATCAAATTTTAAGCCTAAGCAGGCTACTGACAGATGAGTTGATGTTACAGGGATTTCAACAAACTCAGTTAAGGTCAGAATTTCGTTAATTATGGAATTTCTTTGGGTCCGTGTTTCATGCCCTTTTCACAATTTGTACTGTTTGTAGGTTCCTCCCGAGATCGAATACTGTTCGTTATCTTCATCTTTTTTACATTAATATATGCAGTTAAGTTGATTAAACGGATGTGAAAATTCTTACTATACATATTGACATCTTATCTAATAAAAAGAAAGTGCATTTCACTTGCATAAACTGTGACGAAAACCTTACCGACTTTTTATATGAAATAAAGTTGCAAACAAGAATCCACAACCATAGGTAATCTATATACGCTAGAGCATATGAAAATTTTATTTTGAAAAGGATTTCAATGTAAATCTTCGGCATTTGAATCCGAAAAATGTAAATACTCGGATTCCCTTCCTGTCAACTAAACCTTGAACAAAAGGCAACATACGACAATCATAATATCCGGTTTCCGCTCTTTGACTCTATTGTAATGTTAAGAAGGACATCTTATTTACACTATTTAGGCATTGTAATGCTCCATAGTACCTATATCCAAAGTATATTATATTTCAGCTACAGTTTTGACTTAATTATTTGGTTATGCATTCACCTTCATGAACTAAAGACCGAAATGCTATTATTTGGGTGAGACAAGGGAGCAATATTAAAAGTTATTTTTCCTTCCCCCAGCTTATACTCAAAGTTCCCTTTCTACGGAGAAAAATATTCAAAACATATGTCAGTTTTAAATATTTTTAACATTCTCAACAATCAAATTGAATTTGAACTACCTAAACTACCTAAACTACATAAAAATTCCTTACAAAGATACATTGCAGGTTCTAGTAAATGTTCTACCAAACTTTTTCTTTATTCCTCACT